CCTCTGCAACTTCCACACATAGGCTCAGATATCACCTCTTCCAGGAACCTCTCTGATCCCCCGAGTCTGAGCTCTCCTCACACATCCTGAACACCACTAGAGTAGAACTCACCATACTTGTTGGAATGACCTCTTGAGGAGTTTGCTCTCCTTCTCCAGCCCCCATAGTATTTCTAACACCATGGAAGCAGCACATGATAGGTACCCATGTTGTAACTGGGTGGAAGTAGGTATTATCAGATTAACAAGAAGAGGGGGAATCGGTTCAGAAAGGGGAGATTCAGAGAATGCTGATGACAATAGTCTCTCATTCCATAATCTTGATGCAAACAGACCTTGATTCTACATGCTTGAATTTAAAATCCAGTGTATGACTGAGGAAACCAGATCTGAAAGAGACACATGCACCCCAATGTTCATTGCAGCACTGTTTATAATAGCCAGGACATGGAAACAACCTAGATGCCCATCAGCAGACGAATGGATAAGGAAGCTGTGGTACATATACACCATGGAATATTACTCAGCCATTAAAAAGAATTCATTTGAATCAGTTCTAATGAGATGGATGAAACTGGAGCCCATTATACAGAGTGAAGTAAGCCAGAAAGATAAACACCAATACAGTATACTAACGCATATATATGGAATTTAGAAAGATGATAATGATAACCCTATATGCAAAACAGAAAAAGAGACACAGATATACAGAACAGAATTTTGGACTCTGTGGGTGAAGGTGAGGGTGGGATGTTTTGAGAGAACAGCATCGAAACATGTATATTATCTAGGGTGAAACAGATCACCAGCCCAGGCTGGATCCATGAGACAAGTGCTCGGGCCTGGTGCACTGGGAAGACCCAGAAGAATTGGGTGGAGAGGGAGGTGGGAGGGGGGATTGGGATGGGGAATACATGTAACTCCATGGCTGATTCATGTCAATGTATGACAAAAACCACTACAATATTGTAATTAGTCTCCAACTAATAAAAATAAATGAAAAAGAAAATAAAATATAAAAACAAAATAAAATAAAATCCAGTGTATGGTCAATCTGTGGTCATGAATTCTACCTGAAATAATTCTTTTTCTCCATCCAGATGTAAAGAGCCTATAAATATCAGGTAGAGGGCTCCAGTTTCTTGGAAGCAAAGTAAGTGTGGTGGGTCTGGGTTCAGGAGAAAAGGGGACATTGATTGATTCACCTGTCCTTCCCTCCAAGAAATAAAGAGGGAGGACATTTAAGCTAAGGCAAGATCCACTATAAGGCAGGAGGCATTACCTTGGGAAGAACATCTGCTCTGTCAAGGCCACCCATCATGTCCTGAACATCTACAGCATGTGGGCAACCAGGGAATTTACGCATCTTCAGACCTGCTGTACCGTCTGGGACAACTCTACCATTTGTACCTAAGATGTTGAAAATGACTCTTCTATTTTCTCAGGCAGCTTTCGGATGATTTCACACTTGAAAAAATAAATTGAGGGTAAAAAATTACCTCCTCTTCTTCCTCCTCCTTCTGCTTATCTTCTTCCTCCTCTTTTTCTTCTTCTCATCTTCTTCTCCCTCTCCTTCTCCTCCTCTTTCTTCTTCTTCCCCTTCTCCACTTTTTTTTTTTTTCTGAAGGATGTTCCATTCCAAATCAGTGGAGATAGTCTGTAAAATTCTAGATTTTGTTTGAGTGTTCTCTTCCACGTAGGGCATCATTCTTTCTCTATTGGCAGAAGCAGCCCTTTGTCTAGGCCAAAGCCTGGCCCTAATCCAGGCCAACAGAACAATGGGTTTGGAACATATTTTTATTTGTTACCAGGACAGCTTATAGCACATGACTTACCCTAAACAAATGAACTCTAAAGGTTTGGATTACCAAGGGCCATAAATTTAAACCCACTCAGCTTATCTTTGTTGGGGCTTACCTCTTCAAAGACAGCCTCCTACTCTAACTCCTACTATTACCTGATTCTCTGTTTTAGCAGAGATTTTAAAAAATCCTGGACAGACTGATGCTTGGGAAGCTTCAGATGCTGAACCACTATAAGGGGGAGAGATTTGAGAGCAGAAACAACATCTCTGCCAGCAGGGGTCAGCCCTGCTAGCTGCTCACATCAGGTAAGTTGCTTGACATCACAGTGTCAAGAGTATGGCCTTGAGAGTGAGTAGAGGTGGGTTGAAATTCAGGGACTTTAGCACTCACACTTTAGTTCTCTTTTTCATTATTTTCTTCATTATGTTATCTTTCATTTTTTGTTTTGTTTTGTTATTTTGTCCTCTTGAGTGTGTAATATTTTACAAGTGTGGACACTTAAAAAATATAAAAATGTATGTGCTTAGCATCTTCTTCTCTTCTGCCCGGCTTACTTTGCTTGCCTCTTCTCAGACACTTATAGGTAACCTTTGTTATTAGATTCTTATTGTTCCTTCTGGTGGTTTTTAAAATGAAAATATAAGCAAATTTGAATATATATTATAATTTCCCTTCCTTTCTTATCCCCAAAGAACGTAACTGTATCTACCGTCTTGAATCTTGTTTTTCTCATTTTCAGTATCAGAATGTACTAAATGTACAGAATGATCTTCCTCATTTTTACAGCTGCCCATATTCCACTGCATGGATATGCCATACTTTATTCAACTGTCACACTATTGCATTGTTTCTAGGCTACTGCTGTTAGAAATAATGCCACGAGGAACTGCCTGGTATATATGTCCTAGGTATGCTGGTATGCCTGCAGAATTACCTTTGTTGGGGCAAAAGATAAATGCATCTGTAATTTTAGCAGTGCTTGAGCCACTTACTGGATAGGCCATGTTAGGCCAGTTGATTGTCCGCCCAGATCCTTAATTTCAATCAGGTGTGAAATGCCCACCTCCTCCTCAGGTGGTTGTGAAGATTAAATGAGGAAATGGTTGTAAAATACTTAGCACAGAACAGCACTCAATAGCAATAGTTGTTAATTGTCATTAAACAGAAACTTTCAAATCTGGCAATCCTTTTGTCTCTAGGGATCTGGAACAGATTTGGTCTCCTAGTAGGTGCTCAATAAATATTTACTGATTGAGTACCATAGGTAGACTATTGAGATGTTATTACTTGCTTCATTCCATGTCTTTTCATGAAGACAAATCTCTTTCTGGTTTCAGGATTAACTGTACTTCTAAACAAGCAGTCTGATTTTCTTCTAAGGACACCAGATAATGCAATGGATGGTGTTTCCCTCTTTTCACCTTGGCTGCTAGGAGACTCAGAGTCCAATTTGTTAGTCTCCTCTAGCTAGTATGCAGACCATTAGGGCAGTTGTATCGTAAATCCGAGTTTTTCCAAACTTGGCTGTGTAGAATTACCTGGGTTACTTAAAAAAACCCTGATGGCCAGGTCACATCCTGTACCAATTAAATCAGGATCTCTGGGAGTGGGACTCTGACATCAAGACTTTTTAAAGCTCCTCAGTGGGGTCTAATGCACAGACAAGTTTGAGGACAGGCATTCTGAAGTAACCTATACCTAGCTTTATCTCATTTTTCCTATCCTTATTTTTCCTCCATGGTAACAAATCTTATTTCTCTCATCTTCTCCATTTGTATCTTCACCTTCCACATAGAGTGTAGTACATGACTTAATGTAAGTCATCAATAACATGATGCTTGGCAAAAGAAGAGGTAGAGGAATAGAGAAGGAGCTCAGGTGTCTCTCTAGAGAAAAATTCATTTATTCATTTATGCATGCATCATTCATTTATATTCAGCAAACATTTATGAAGTGCTTTGGGCTCAGCTTCCTGTTTGGGGACCATGTTTGGTGAGAAAAATGCCTTAGAGAGATTCTTTCTAGTGAATGTGTTCTTTAGGCAGATGATAATTTCAGGTTATTTGATAGAAGCTGTGCTTCTGACATTTCTTTCACCCTCCAGGGAGGCTCTTGGCATTTACCCAGAGAAACATCCTAACATCTACAGGAGGGAGTGGTAAAGAACCCAGAAACATGTCCATCCCTAGAAGGCGTCTTAGCCCCAGGAAAGCCAAGTATTTGTATGACGAGGCATAGAGTAGATTTTGGCTTATGTCTTTCATCACTTGGCTGAGTCCTTTGTCAGATAAAAAGGTAGCAGCTGAGAGCATTAGTGGAACAATCATCAGCCTAAGCTCCCTGTGAGAGAGCAGACAGGGATGAGGAGGCTGGGTGTGGGCCGACGGCAGCGGCAGTGATCGCCATCCACACAGACCCCCCGTGCTCAGAGCCCTGCAGCACCGGCCAGGAAGCACCCTTAACTGCGTGCGGGATCCTGGACTGACCCTCCAACATGAGCTGTCCCTGGTCAGTGGTGAGCCCAGACAGGACAAGCAAAGCGAAGAGGCGCCTGCAGGCCCCTGGCCACAATCTGGACTTCTTCTCTGATGGCGGACTCTGTTGATTCTGTGGGCCTGGCTCCCTCCCTGGGGGCAGTACGTAAGCAGAAGCAAGCCAGCAGCAGGGCCACCCCTAAGCTGGGTCTCGCCTTTGCAGCAGGCTTCCCTGCAGAGGTGAGAAAATGTGAGACGCTCCCCAGTGGGTGCAAATATGTGGAAGAAAATTGAATGGAATTCATCCCCCACTGAATTCCACCCTCACTCTATGATTTGTTCAGTTCTTCTGTATCCAGCTAAAGGCCTTCTGTTGTTAAAAATGAAATTAGAACCAAAAGGACACGGAGGAGCCATTGTGGCCAAAGACGACACTGGAAAAGGTGGCAACTGGTGGCCCCCTTGCCTCTCCCCAACTGGTCAGAATCCCTCGGATAAGCAAGCAGACCGTCGCCACCTCCTCTGGAAGCCACGGCGGCCCTGCGGAGCCACTGTGCGCCCTGGGGCTCTTGCCACAGCGGGGCCCTCAGACCCCAGGAACCTTCCAACCTCGCTCCCCTGGACTCCTCCTCTCCTGCCTTTTGTTCAGGGGTTGGGGCTCTGCTGTCCCTTCAGCACCCACCTCCATGATGTGAACGCACTTCCCCAGTTCTGGAAGGATTTATGCTCTTTGGAGGAGCAGATTTTTAAAGCCAAAAGGTTTTGCTGTGATGAGCAAACGCACAAACAATAGCACCACCACAGCGAGGCCCCTTGATACAGAGGCCTGAGCAGTCAGCCTCGTTGGTGAGTGGAGTGAGGTGGTGGGGTGGGCTGTCCCTGGGTCCCCAGTGAACCAAGTACTCTTGGAGGAGTGAGGACCAACGTGTCTGCTCAGGTTTCTTTCACCGAGAGGCAAGCTCTGCAGGTTGAGGCCCTGGCTAAAACCCACGGCGAGGCTTTGAATCGGAGCGGCTTTTTCTGACGAGGTTGCTGGGCCCGCTGGGCTGGGCTCTGCCAAAAAGCCGTCTGAGCACTCGCTCGAGCTGAGTTCTGACGTAAGGAAGTGATTATGACTGGAAACTTGAATCTGGAATGCTGTCTCTTTAGGCCCAGGGTACTTCAAGTGCGCCTTGCTGGGTAAAACAGGGTTTTCCAGCTCCGTGGGTGGTCTCATGGCCACTGGGAAGAGCGTCTAGCTGGGAGGCTTGTGCTGTGGACCCGCCTTGGTCAGTCACCCACTGTGTGACTTGGGACAACTCACTCAGCGTCTCTGGGCCTCCTGTGAGCGTCTCAGCCCTTTCCACCTCAAGACAGTTTATGTAATCAAGTGTGTTATTAATTTGGTGTCATTTTCCCCCAGTAGTTTATGTAGACAGGGAGTGCAGTTGCGCTAAAAATAAACTGGCGAAACCAAAGCACACATACACAAAGCCCCTCGGCACCTCTCCGCTGAGTTTCACTTGTCAGGAAGGGCTGCTAAAGGACGGCTTGATTCGTCTTTATGCAGTTGTCTGCAAATGGCACTTGAACGAAAATATTCCCTTTCATCTCGGTGACAGAAATATGATTCAGTAATTCTTTGTGAAAATGTAGATGATACGCTGCCGTAGTTACAGTGAGTTAGGTTTAAGTGGCAAATGCCTACTGATAAAGACTTAATTAAAGACACAATAGCAGTGGGAGGTCATTATAGTAATTACAGTCCCGGCTTTATTGTGGGGGCCCAGTCCTGAATTGTAGCAGCACGTTATCGCTACAGAGCGTCTTGGTGTGAGGAGGCAGTGCTCGGGCTCCGTGCACGTATACTGTCACTGACGGTGGGATTGCGAATGCCATGGTTCCACTTTATTTTAGTGTAGGTTTTGGGCCTTATTTTAAAAATACGTGATAAATCAGTCATCTCAGGCAGGGGCATTCTGTTTCACGTTTCCTTGGACATGTGTGGTGATGGGTTGTAAAGGTGTCCTGGGTCTTCTTTTTGGCAGCACATCCATCCATCCATAAGCCTTATAAAGGGGAATTCTGAGGCCTCAGAGAGCAAACTGTGCTAAGGCTGGGAATCCCATGCTTGCCTGGAGTGGAGTCGTGGGTGGTGCCTGAGGAAGGCCTGGAAGAGCCTGACTTCGGAGTGGCTGTGAGGTGTGGCAGGCTGCTGTTTCCCATGTCTGAGCAGCTCCCCAGGGCCTCTGCCTCTAGCTCTTTCCAGGATGCTGTTACTTTACTTGGAGTGTGCTGCTCCAGGCCAGATTGCAGGCAGAGTGTCTTTGTGCATTTAAGGACAAATCCCTCCCCAGACTTGCAGGAAAACAGCAGGGTCTTGAACTGGGTTTCTTGTCATATAGGTTGGAATGTTGATCAAAGGATAAGAGTTGCTAGCAGTTTGCCACTGTGGTTAAGAATATTGTCAGCATTATCAATTATCTCCAATCAAATAACATAATATTGGTAGGTTAAATATGAAAGTCTATCAAAATGTGAATTGTCTAACAAAGTGGAATTGTGGTTGCTAGAAGCTTGAGGGAGGGGAAACTAGGGAGTTACTGTTGAATGGGTGAAATGAGAGTCGCTCAGCCGTGTCTGACTCTTTGCTACCCCATGGACTATATATATATAGTTCATGGAATTCTCCAGGCCAGAATACTGGAGTTGGTAGCTTTCCCTTCTCCAGAGGATCTTTTCTACCCAGGGATCAAATCCAGGTCTCCTGCACTGCAGGCGGATTCTTTACCTGCTGAGCCACAAGGGAAGCCCATTGAATGGGTGCAGAGTTTCTGTTTGGAAGATGATAAAGATCCAGAGATGGATAATAGTGATGGCTGCAAAACAATGTAGATGTACTTATGCCACTGAACTGTACACTTAAAAATGATTGGGGCTTCCCTAGCGGCTCAGTGATGAAGAATCTGTCTCCCAATGCAGGAGACATGGGTTCAATCCCTGGCCTAGGAAGATCCCACATGCTGTGGAGCAACTAAACCTGGGTACCACAGCTACTGATCCTGTGCTCTAGAGCCTGGGAGCTGCAGCTGCTGAGCTCATGTGCCACAACTACTGAAGCCCGATCACTCTAGAGCCTGTGCTCCACAACAAGAGAAGCCGTGCAGTGAGCAGCCTGTGCACAGCAACTAGAGAATAGCTCTGGTTCACTGCAACTAGAGAAAGGCCCAGGAAGCAACGAAGACCCAATCAGCAAAGCCAAAAATAGCTAAGTCAATTTAAAAAAAAATGGTTAAGGTGGTAAATTGTAGGCAACGCCAGTCTTCTGCCTCTTTGAAGTCTGAGATAAGTAGTTTGTGGTTATTAGGTATTCTGTTCACCAGTTGAAATTGTGAAAGGTTTTATCCTTTTTCCCAAAGACTCTCCTTTTTTCTGACTCTTTTCTTGATGTTAGCTTGCCTAATGATTCATCAGTAGGCATTTCTGTCCTATTTCTGGTCCCTGACCAGAATGATGTAATGAGATGTACAGATCCAAGAAAGTGAAAGTCACACAATTGTGTCCGACTCTTTGTGACCCCATGGACTATACAGTCCATGGAATTCTCCAGGCCAGAATACTGGAGTGGGTAGCCTTTTCCTTCTCCAGGGGCTCTTCCCAACCCAGGGATTGAACCCAGGTCTCCTGCATTGCAGGCGGATTCTTTACCAGCTGAGCTATCAGGGAAGACCTACAGATCCAGTAAGAATCATGGAATATGATTTTAGGATATCCAGGAAATAAACCTCAATATGCACCTTCCCCATCATTCTGTTGCTAGTGCTGGAAATGGTCTGAGTAGCAATTCATCCCTTTGGATTGCTTTAGAAGCTATGGATACCTTAAAAACCTAAAGTACATGCAGAAAGGGGTTCCTTGACTCCCATCCAAGTACTAACCAGGCCCGACCCTGCTTAGCTTCCGAGATCAGACGAGATCGGGCGCGTTCAGGGTGGTATGGCCGTAGACAGTTCCTTGACTCTTCCAGAGTAGTCCTAGGCCATCAAGGCTCAGATGAAATTAAATGGGACCCCACAAGTCCCCCTTAGGTTCCTGTGTCCTGATACATCTTGAGCTTCTTGACTGGTTCCTGACTTTGGCTATTGGTTAAGACCTTGGCTAATAACTTACTTGATTTGGCTGGTCACAACTCACAGCTTTCTTGTTGGCCCTAAATTTGCTTTGCCTCAACTGACTCATCTGCTGCCTCCTGGCCCAGCCTTGTTATGTAGCTGCATCTCTTCTGGCATCTACCTCCAGCAAGTCCCAGGTTTGGGTTTAATCACCTTTCACTAGTATTCAGGGGCTTGGATTAAAATGCCAGAAATCTTCAAATGAGTGACTACTCTGCCTGAGCCACCCAAGGGATTAAGTTCCAGAAAGAGAAGTGGATGGTGGGATAGGATGGAGAGAAATATTCAATAATGGAAGAATTTAGCATCTCACTTTCAGAAATTGATAGAGCTAGTAGACATAGATCAGAGAGGCTACAGAAGACCTGAACAAACCATCAGACAGTAGGATCTAATTGACTCTTATAGAATATGTCACCTAACAATAGTGGAATATACATTCTTTTCAAGCACTCATGGAACACTTTTCAAGACGGACCATCTCATTTTTCCTTCTTTTAAAAGAATTAAAAAAATTTTAATGTGATTTTTAAAGGATACTTTCCATTTACAGTTATTACAAAATATTGACTATATTCACTGTGTTGTACAATATATCCTTGAGCCTATCTTACACTCAATATTTTGTATCTTCCACTTCCCTATCCCTGTGTTGCCCCTCCCTCCTCTCCTCACTAGTGACCTCTACTTTGATCTCTATATCTATATGTGGGAAGATAGACCATATCTTAATCATAAATCAAGCTACAAAATTTTAAAAGAATTGAAATTATTTAGACTATTAAACCATAATAGAATCAAACTTGAAACCAATAATAAAAATGCAACAGAAAAAGTTTCAAATACTTGGAAGTTAAACAACACAGTTCTAAACAACTCATGGATCAAAGAGGAAACCTCAAAAGAAATTTAAAAAATGTGTAGAATTGAATAAAAGTGAAAACACAACATGTCAACAATTTGGGATGTGGTGCTACAAGGGAAATATAACCACTAGGTGTTTATGTTAGAAGAGAGGAAAGATCTCAAATCAATAATCAAAGTTTCTACCTCAAGAAACTAGAAAAAGAAGACCCAAAGTAAGCAGAGAAATGAAATAATAAAGGCCATAAATAAATAAAATTAAAAATAGGAAAATAGAAAAATGTGAATGAAACAAAAATTAGTCATTAAAAAGAAAGTAGTAAAATTGATAAATCTCTAGCAAGAACACAGATAAAAAAGAAAATACACAAATCCTCAGTAACAAGAATGAAACAGAGGGTATCACAACAGATCCTGTAGTTATTGATAGGATAATAGGACATTATTAGAAACAATTTTATGCTCAGACATTCCAAACTCAAAAGAAATTGACCAATTTCTCAAAAACACAAGCTACCAAAACTCAGCCAAGATTAAACGGATAGTCTAAGTAGTCCTATAATTAATTTAAAGTTGAATTTGTAATTACATAGCCACTGAAAAAGAAATCTCCAGGCTGAGATGATTTTACTGAGAGGATTTTATCAATTATTCAAAGAAGTATTAACATCAATTTTAGACAATCTCTTCAGAAATTAGAAGAAGAAGGATACTTTCCAATTCAGTTTGTGATGTGATGATTATTACCCTGGTTCCAAAATCAGGCAAAGAGAGCGCAAAGAAAAAAAAGTTATATGCAAAATATCTTATGAACTTATATATAAAACTTTAGCAAATAAAATCTGACACTGTATAAAAAGAATAATAGACCATGACCAAGTGGTATTTATTATAGGTATGCAAGAATAACTGAATATTTGAAAATGAATCAATGTAATCCACTAGTCCAACATCCTATCAATTGAGGAAGAATAAACATTAGACAAAATTTAATACCTATTCCTGATAAAAACTCTAAGCACATTAAGAATAGATAGGAACTTCCTAAAACTCATAAAAATCCTACAACTAACCTAGTGGTGAAAGACCGAGTACTCTCGCTCTAAAACTGGAAACAAAGCAAGGATATTTGCCCTTACTACTCTTGTTCAATGTAGTTCTGGAAGTTCGAACCTCTGTGATAAGACAAGAACAAGAAATA